GCTGGCTTTATTGACCCTAGTACGAGTACGACTACGAGTAGAGTAGCCAACAATTGCATTCACTCGAAATTATTTAATATACATACATTTAGAAACATGTAAATTTAAAATGAATTTAATCAAAAAATCTTTCAGTTATTTAAGGTTGATTTAATCTTTTAATTTGTTTAGTTTACTGCAATTCGTTGTAGAAGCTCATTAAGCATGAAATTTATAACTAATGTCAATTAAAATAATTAGAAACATTTCTGAGCAAGTTTTTAGTAGTAGTAAAACACATTTTATGAGTAGTTGATATAAAATTTATAAAAAAAAATATAAAAAAAAGGTTTAGAAATTACCATATAAATAATAATTTTATAATTCTATTTAAATTTAAAATGAAATTTTAATCCCTAAGAGAATGTGAGTTCTTATAAAAAAAATTTTTTTTAGATTACAATTAAATAATTCTGTAATTTGTTTTAAAAACAAATTTACATAAAATAAATTATTTGTTTTTCAAACCATTAACTTTATTTAAAAATCAAAAAAAAAATTTTTTTTAAACAAATTAAAATAAAAACGTTAACTTGTTTAAACCATTTACTTTACTTACAAATTAAAAAAAAAAAATTATTTTTAAACAAATAAAAATAAAAAAAAACGTTATTTTTTAAATCATAAAATTTAGATGCAAATTTAAAAAAAAAATTTTTTTTGTACATGAATATAATTTTTTATTAATTTTAATTCAAAAAAATTTTGGTTTTAGATAATATTTTAAATTTAGAACATTGAACTACTAAAATTTCTTTAAAGTAAATAAAATTGGAATGTACGAATTTTTTTATTTTTTTAACCTTTACAAAAATTATTTTTAAAGGAAGAATTTATTATAAAATTTGTGTCAAGTCTGAGTTATTTCATTAACACGAACCTTGTATAATAAACTACAAAAACTATATTATTTTTAAAGTAACTCTGTGATTTGACACTATAGTAAAAAGTTCTCTCATAAACACTACAAAGAATTAACGTATTTTATTATGAAAACGACGAAAAAGTATGATAACCTCTTTTACATATATTAAATTTAAACTTCGGACATTTATTACTTTTAAAATATATCCGCATTTATATTTATATGGATAAACTTATAATTCTCAAATAAAATTGAATTATACTATATTTGAATTTTTAAAGTTTTGCTATCAACTTAGTTTTTTTTACCATAATTTATATAAAAATATTGCCATATAACAGACAATCAGAGAAGTATGCACAAATTTGTTTCATATAATTAATCAATATGTATATATACATTGTATATCTCATTTTAATTTTAAAGAGTAAAATTATGAAATCCTTTCACCATTATTTACTAAAATAGTCAAATCAAACAAAGACAACTTCACACTACCTATTAAAATAAATTTAAATTAATTACGAAGTAAACCCCTTCACTGCATTCAAGCAAGTTGTTGATGCTTAAATATGTATATACAAATAAGTATGACAAAGTTTCACTAAAAACGTGAGTATATAGAATAAGAAAAAATCACTAAAAAATCACTATATAGATTAAGAAAAACACTAAAAAGTAGAGGAAAAAATAATGCAAAACAATTCCACAGCTCTGTATAAAGATTTTCATTTACTTATAAAAATAGTTTTATTATGTTTTTATTATGTAATTTTAATAAAATAAAAAGCCTTTTTATTTTACTTGAAGAGCAAATTTTAAATTTTAACGTTAAAAAATTGAAGTAGTTGCTTCTGAGTAGTAATGAAACTGAAATTAAAATACATTATATATAAGCTTAATATGAATTTCATTCATATGTATATGGAATATATTATATATATTCATACCATATGTCAACAGTAAAGAAAGACTTTGAAGAATTTTAATGAATAGTTCATAAGTTTAAGCAAAAAATTTTTAAATACAAAAACAGTTTCTTTTAAATTTATTTTGGTATATAATTTTTTTTATTTTAGTCAATTTTCAAAAAAAAATTAAAAACACTCTAAAAGGCTCCATATTTTTTAATTTTTTTTCTTTTTTTTATTCTTACTTTCATATTTCCATACATGCCACTCATCTTTTCTTTAGAAGATATTGTATCTTTCAAGATTATGAGCATATTTGCTTCATAATTTCGAAGCACAAGCCTCAAATAATACAACACAAAAAATAAAATGCAAAAAGATACATTTAAAATATTTTAAAGAAAAAATTTTTTTTATTTTTAAGCTTTTTCTTATTATTTATATTTTTATTTTTTGTATAAATTCCTAAAATGTTCGTGGTTTTAAAAAATGTTTTGCCTAGCGATGATTAGTTAGATTAGAACGAAAAACATGCGTTTGCTGTTAAACTTCAGAATGAGTTTAAGAAAATTGAAAGTCTGTTGTATCTCATATATATATATTATATATGAATACGAAAAATAAATGTTTTTATGTGGTATATTTGCATGGAATTTAACCCTACAATATTTTAATAACTTGTGTTTATATACCTATACATATATTGCGAACATATTTAGAACAATATTTTTATAACATCAATTATTTAGCATCTGAAGATATTATTTAAGAACTATTCTTATATTTGAAAAAACTATTACATTTATTAAATATATGCATTTTTGAATTTTATTTGTATATCATAATTCCCTTTCAAATCTTGAAAGAGCAACTTTTATTAATATAAAAATATTTTATCATTTGATAGATTTAATTTTTATATCGTCTTACAATTCTAAATCCATTAAATTCATTTAGGCTAAGTAACGCTTGCATTTTATTAGTTTATACATTCATGTGTATAATTAAAAATTAAACTATCTAGTTTGACCTATGTACACTAAGATGATTATAGGGTAAAAAATTTAGCCTTATACACAAAATTTTGAATTAAAATATTTCTACATATGAGCTTCGTTTTTGTTCTTGTTAAACTAATTTCTTACACATTTTTTTCTTTCCACAAATATTTTCGCATTTTATGCTTTACTCACTCGACATAACAGAAAAGCCAAAAATGATTATGATTTATGACTTTTTCGAATAATATATCTAATTTTTTTATTATTTAAATTGAGTTTATAGCATATGTTAAAGTTTTTCTATACAAAGACAGATTTTTGTTTATTTGTTAATTTATTTATTATTTTTTTCAAGAATTTTTTTTATATCTGGAATTTCAAATTGATATTGTGTGTGTTCTTTTGACAGCTTTTGGAACACACCTAAAATTCTGATTGTTTCCTGACTTATCATATATACCTTTAAACATATACACATTGTCTATCCTGCACAACAGCAAACAAAAAAAAAAAATTAAAAAATAAAACAAAAAATTAAAAATAAATAAAAAATAAATCACATAACAAAATCATAACAAATAACAAATTTTTTTTTATTTTGTGAGTTATACTTTAAAAAAGTTTTTAGATAAATATTTTGCAAGATGATAAGAATGTACAATTAAGAGAGAGTAAAGATTCGAAAAAGTAAACATTGTTTAATATATGTTTATATATATTATTTAATATATTTTAATTAAATAAATAAATGAATAAGATTTTTTATTCAATAAAAATAACAACAAAAGTAATTTATATAAATATATAGATCATGTACTTTGTGGGAACTAATCCTATTGCTATTGAAAATTATAAAAAATAAATAAACTACAAGTTTAAATTCACCTTTCTCTCTCTGTATAAGTCTTTTTAAAAATAATTGTACTCTATCAAACAAACAAAATCTATAAATAGAAGCTCTTTTAAATTTCACAACTAAATTTAAAATTAAAAAAATTTTATAAAAAATAATTTATAAAAATATATTTTTGTATAATATTATACTTAATTCTATTTTGCAATGATTCACAAAAGTATTTTACTACGCATTCTAACATTTCTGTACTCAGTTGTGCCCCTGCATCTTCACTTCAAGCAGTTCATTTAAAAAATAACTATTTCGGCTTCATTAAGTAATTATTCACTTTGAATCTATAATTTCATAGCATCTCTGCTTATACATACGTATTCTCTTCCTAAATTCTCATACACATGTACTTGCACATTTATTAATCAAAAAAATTTGACTTTGGCAGCAATTATCTTCAAATTTTTAAGTTACCATTTAATTGATTAATTGAAGCCCGCATACATGCCATAAATTCCAATTAAATTTAAAATGAATTAACATTTTTATATACTTAATTATTTTATCTATATATTTCGAATAAAATTTTTAATTTTTATTTTTTTCCTCTATCTACTTACAGATAAATTTTGAAGAAACTAACTTTTACTGCAAACGCCTAAGAAAATCAAATAAATTTTACTTTTGAGAAGATAAACTGGAGAAAAGTATACAAAAAACTACTTATTATATAAATGAAAAAAAAAAAATAACTAATTAAATTGTGATAAAAGAAATTGAAACTTTATTTTATAAAAATAAATAAATAAAAATATTTTTCTATACTTTATTAAATATTTTTAATAAAATAAAATATAAAACAAAAATTAATTAAATAAAATTTTTGATCAGCAAAAGCATTTAACTGTGATTAAAAATTTTTCATACATCAGTCGCGCTTAATTACAATCAAAACAGAAATTAATTTTTAAGTGTTTAAGTTTATAAATACTAATATTTTTATGCTTTTTTTATAAGTGAAAAAAAATAATAAAATATAAAATGTTTAATTTAAATATACCAATGTTTGGCATCGAGGGCACAGGTTTGTGTAACACACCCAAAACACCCGAAATTGTCAATTCGTTAATTGCCATGACAAATCCCATGGATAATTACAACTTCTCAGCTGATACGTCAATTGTGAATGCTGCCTCAACACCAGGAAGTTTATCATCCATTGGAACGGTGCGAAATTTTAATGGCTCCGGCCCAAATGCACAGGTGTGTAACAATTAAATACAGGGTATTATTTAAATATATATGCGCGTAAATAAATTAAATTAATTTACAGAATGTCAAGCAATGAACTTTACAATTTAATTATATTTTACTATTTGTGTTTTTTGTTTTTTGTGTTTTTTTTTGTAAGAAAATTAAACAG